CGGGTTTGGGGTAAATCAACCCAGAGGTTATGATTTACCAAATGGTAAGTTAACCAAGCTTTCTGGGATACCCCCCTGGTTGCTGTAGTGCACTTCATAGACTGATTACTAAGTAATTCAGTAGGCTTACAAATAATATAAAACACTTTTTTAATCTCCAGATTCCGGAGACTATACCTATACTGCAGAAAACAGGCAATGAAAATGAGAAACAACAGACAACTATTCCGCATATGCTCTCTTTGGTAACAAAGTACCATCCAGATGCAAAAGAACAGCAAACTAAAGAGAGAGCTCTAGCCTTGTGGGTAGGTCGTACTGGTCTGCAGATCCGAACAGTGGAGCACAAGGATTTCATTGCAATGATGGAGGTGGTTGACAGGAGACTATACCCAAGAAAATCAAAATCAGCAACCTCATTGAGAACATTTATGAGGATGAAAGAAACAAGTTTAAAGAGAGACTGGTCAGTGCACGGAAAATAACGATTGGTATTGACATGTGGACAACTAAGGGACTTAGCGCTTCTTTCCTGGCAATAAGCGCATGTCACTTTTGCACCGTGCAGAACCAACCTGAACACATATTGCTCAGTCTCAAACAGATTTCCCATCCACATACTGCCCTTTCTATCAAAGCTTGTGTTGACCGGTTCACTGAAATGTGGGGAATACCAGGAAACAAAATTCTTACAGTCATCACAGATAATGGGAGCAACATGATTGCTGCATTCAGACCAGAGGAAGAGGAACCCTGCTCTGCAGATACAGAAGAGGATGACGGGAGTGAGGGAGAACAATGGAATGAGGAGGCAAGGTAAGACTATTACAGAGTTATTAAATTTCAAATAAATAATATTTCTTTTTTTTTTCCTTTCCTCAATTTCCACTGCCCCTCAATTTGTACTTGCATGTTAGACACCACATGACACTAGGGCTGAGGAGGTGGGTTGAGGCAGGTGGGTCTCTGCCGTCTGCCAGCGGTGGGGTGCCCGTGCCTCAACTGCTCCCCCACTTTTTGCACCTTAGTCATACACACAGTCTATATTACATTAGGGCCTTGGGGGTGCGGGGAGGGGGATGGGGGACTCTGCCATCTGCCAGTGGTGGGGCCCTCATACCCGAACTGCACCATAAACACACAACTCTCTCACACATATACATGCACACTTCACACCAACATGGGTCGGGGAGGGGATGGGGGCTGAGGGCCCCCCCCAACTCTCTGTCTCTGACCCTGCACAGGTGGGGTGGCCCGCCGGGTGGAAGATCCATCATGGGGGGGTTCGGGCGACCCTGGCCGGTGTGGGCGGCCTCCTCTCTTGGGCCGCGGGCCGGGTGGTGCTTGGCTCTGCTGCGCCGTGGTGGGGCCCTAGCGGGCAGTCCGGGGAATCTTGGGATGCTCTGGGCCCTGCTAGGCGGATTGGGGGGTTCGGT